TTGTGTATTACTTACGCATGATTTCAAGTAATTTGCATTATATTAGATGCTAGCATGACGAAATAATTTCATGCAGATTTCATCAGGAAATTATACTATCGTGAAAAGTTGAGGAAAACCTAAATTTAAGTTAGCTTCATATAGTATATATTTTTGTAAATATATTATTTAAAATTTATATATTTATTATATATAGATATTATTTAAATTATTTAGTAAGAGCCAAGTTAATGAAAGATAAAAGGGGATAGGGAAGGGGATTTTAGATAGGCTAGAGAGTAGAGTGATTTTAAAGTGGGGAGAAATTAGAAAGCAATTAGAATATATAAATTATATATATAAACTTTAAGGTTATAGGGTTCTAATTTGAGTCTAATTAAAGCTTATTGCAATGCCTAATTACTTTGAGATAATAAGTATTAACAAAGTGTTTCTCCTTTGACCTCAATTTTCACTGCAGCAGCTACAGAAACTTGTCTTTAAGAATCATGTCAATTTACTTGAAGGGCACAAAAAGGGTCAACAGCATAATCAAAGTGGGCAAATTTTTAAGATCCACTTAAATCAGTGAGAATTGCATAAGTAGTTAGATGCTCAGAAAGACAACTTTGTAGCTAATAAAAACATAAATAAACATATATATTTATATACATAAACGTATATATATATAGTATATATTGTGAATAAATAGAAATACTGAAAATTCGAAATTATTCAAATTTATTTATTAAAACATAAACTAATTAAAAACCCGTGGCATAATTTGCACAATATTTAAATTGTGCTTATTTAATTTAATTCAATGGAAACCTGAGAGTTTTTATCATCTCTACAGCTGTCATAACATTAATTAAGTTTATTTGTACTTAAAAATAAATGGTCAAATGTAAATTTGTATAGCTTTAGGGGTTGGCATCTGCCGTTGTTTCTATGCAATTTTGATGGCTCTATTTAGTTATAATTGCATTTGGAGGGATTTTCTAGTTTATATTTTTTGCTGTTGCTGTTGCCGCGCTGAGCTTTAGTGTTTTCAGTTTTGCTACTCTTCGCATTATGCCAAACAACAGACTAAGTTTGCTATTATTTTATGCACGTAGCTTTAATGTTCTTAAAAATACCATCACGCGCTGATTAGCTGAATCTTAAACTCCATAAACATAGTTCTGTTATTATAATTAGAAAAATATAGATGATGGAAAAGATTGTTATCTTAATGATTGAGAAACATTCCATGGAGTAATGAAACGCCCTGATTAGAAGGCGTTAGCTCTGCAAACGCGCTCGCTATCTGTTGCATGATATTCTTTAATAACGCCTCATTTTTAATAACCTTAAGCTATATTTATGCGATTAAGAGTATAAACTTTGTCAACCAGCAGCGACGCGCGAAAATATACTATGAATATTGACCTACTTTAACAGTGGCCTAAGCTGAGCAAATCCTAAACAAATAATTAATAATTTTTATATATATAACAGCTGAACTTTTTATAAAGAAGGATGAATTGTCATATTCTAAGCAGAATATATGGGTTTTGTTGTAATATATGTAACAGACGAAAGCATACATTGAGCATATGTATTCTTGATTAGATTCGAGTTAAATCAATCCAGGGCCATCTGTCTGCAAGGCTTAGGTCTTACATGTAGATCCTATTGCAAGATAGATTATCAAACTGCAGAAAGATTATCTTTTGAATACATACCAAAAGTAGGAAAAAGTGGTGTCGACCATAGCTTCATTCGTTGTTGTTTAATTTGTCTGCGAAACTATTTAGAAAGATATTTTTAGTACGGCAATTTAGCTGCTCTAGCCCACTGTGCTGCAGTCAGCCAAATGGGCTGAGGCGAAGTTAAGTGCCGCTTGAGCCATTTTAAATATAGACACTCAGTGACGCTCACATAAAAATTCTCATACGCATCATTGCCAACAAGCTCAGCTGCTCATGTTTCGTTCTTCGTCCTCATCTTCTGGCGCTCGCTGGCATTGTCAACCGACAATGCGGCTAGCGAGTGGCGGCTTGGCAAAAGTGGGGGAAAGGCGGACAGTAGCTGTTGCAATGTAAATATTAATAGCGCAAATTTTCTGTTGCACAACAGAAATATTGCGGATACATGCCCTGAATGGCATGCATGCATGTACGCCTGTTTGGCCGTGTCCGTATATGTATGTAAGCCCACTCATACCATGTAAGCAAATAACAGCGTGTGTCATTCGATGCTGATAGAGATGAGAAAAGCTTGACACGTCAAGATTATTTGATATCCAGTTACAAAAGAATATTTTCAAACAAATACGAATATATATATATATATATATATATATATATATATATATATATGTGAAGCAAGGTTTGTTTGATTAAACTGAATTGACATTTATTTTATATACTTTTACTCTCACTTACATTAGAAATATTTTCTGAGAATTTTATAATTAGCAGCGTCTATATATAAATGTAGATTTTAATCGAATGAAGTCCAACTCAAAATCTAAATTTAATTTTTCACTGGAAATCGAAAACAAAATCTAATTGAATTGGCTAAAAAAAATTTTGCAGGCAGACCCAGTCAAAAAGCATACATAAATGAAGTCAAGACCTTGCAGTAATATAGCCATATTTAGTAAATTCAAAATGTTGGCTACAAATCAAATTTTGGCCTCATCTAGTAGCAACATTTTATTTTAAATTAATATTAAAATGCCAAATGTGTGAAATATATGACAAGCCAAGGCTTGAATGTGGATAATATGACTTACAAAACTAATAAATAAATTCTGGAAACTGTAAATAAAGCCACAAATATTTTTTAATATCCATTCATGCAGTAAAATTACCTTTGAGTATTTTCGAAACTGTATTAAATAAGAAACAAATGTGGTCAGTTGAGAAATTGAGAAAATTAGCAAGTATATTTTTTTAAAATAAATAATTTAAGTTGAAGCTGTGTGCATCGATTATAAGATTTAAAACATTTCCGTGCCGCTCGACACGCGTTCATTTCTATCGCTCGCCTTTGTATGTGAAACACAAGTGCATCAACTTTTGTAAGTGAAAACTGATGTTTTTTTTTATATTTTTGTTGCATACTGAATTAAATTAATAAAGTTATACAACTTGTTTACACTTGCAACGTTATGTCTGTGTTCTTAATTTGAGTACAACAATTTATTCCTCATTTATTTTTTATTTTAATACGCATATTTATATGTACGGCTCGTTAATATTCACAAGTCTGTTTTTTTTTCACAGCAAATTAATTAACAAGCTTGAATAGTCCTTTTGAAATTTGCAGACATTGTAGACAATGCAAAACATAACTTTCAAGGTTGTGCAAATTTTTTAACATTTCAGAAAAGTGAAATAGAGAGAGAGATAGAGAGAGATGGTGTGAGGGAAGAGGGAGAGAGAGAGAGTGAGAAGAAGAGAGAGAAGTGCAGAGAAGGGGAGAAAAGGCTAGATTTATAAATCAAGAAGCGAGTGGAAATAGACAGATGAGAGAGAGACAGAGAGGCTGCTGAGAGAGGGAGAGATACTTAAGAACGTAAAAGCAATGCTGAGGCTATGCCACATCTGTACTTAGTAAAAATATAAAATAAAAGCCAAGCAAGAATGACTTTAACTAATTAAAGTCGTATAGCTCAATCTTCTTATGAAACTCTAATCTTAATCGCTGGATTTTAAAATGGTTGGATGCACTTGGCTCACATGCTCACAAGGCTACAAAGAACCTTATCGCTTTTGCTTAATTAACTTTTGCCGAAACTCAGAAAATTAGCCATGGCATGCAGGACAAAGCATGCAACTGACCAGTAATAAAAATCCACCAGGAACTGCCTCTGGGAGCGGAGGTAGGGCAGGAGGTCAGCAAATAGCGGCATAAGGTTTAATTAATGCCGGCATATGGTAATGAAGTGGCACAGTCTAGAAAAATGACTAGCTCTATTAAAATTTAATTAAATCCGTTTGAAACTTGCACCCAGAAGGCGTGGCAGCATATGCAGCCAATGCCAAAGACATGTGTTTCATGAGTTTGCAGTTGGCTGAATAAGTCAAAATATATTTGAAATTAAAAATTTAATTTAAGTCAAGTGTCATTTTTAGTAATTAGAAATAATTAAAGCGAACAACAGCCAATGTTAATATCACTGATATGATAATGCGACTCAATGCACTCTACTGGAAAATACTGATTAATTACTAATGCCCAGTTGAGTTTGAGCTGCCAAGCGACCAGAGCTGCGGCTGCTTGATTAAATTTTAGCTGCATGTGGTAATTATGACACCTCAACACACTTGACATACACACCCAACCGCACACACACACATACATCCACACACACACTAAGAGCAATAAGCCAATGCAATTGGATGAGTTGTCATTAAGCAGACGAGTTGAAGGCAACGTTTGAAATGTTGCACAATCAGCGCATTAAATAATTAAGTGCTTAATTAAATGGTGACCAGGAGAATGGCCAACAACAGTGGCTGTCTGTGGAAGGCAATATAATATCCTGATTGTATTTCAGTCCTTCTCTATCGCCGTCTCTCCCGCTGTCGGACCTTCGACTAATTTTTGTATTGTGTTTCGTGTGCTAATGGCGCATACAAATGCGACCAGCTAGTGGCATGAGATGAGCAGCAGGACATTATCTGTTGGTCATCTAGTGGAAATGGTAATGCCATGCGCATGCACATCACGTGCGGCCTCAAATTTGTAATGAAAATTAAATAAGAGTCGAATAAATGGAGTAAATGGCGGCATTTGTTGCGCTAGTTTGTTGTCCAGCCTGTTGCATGTCTCATGGATACGCCCATTAACTTGTATAGCGATTAGCCCCAAGCGATTATTGATGTTCAGCGGGGAGTATCGAGATATGGAGATACCGTCTACGAAGTCAGCTAATGACCGTAATTAATTATAAGCGCCACAATGAAAGGCTCATCAGAAGCAGGTATTAATGAGACAGCTTCCGTAGTCAAATTGTAATTTTCTGATGCATGTTGTACACGTTTATTCGAATGCTATTTATATATTTCCTTTTGGAATTTGGAAAACTGGAATGCGAGATATTTTAGATAGCATAGATTAAATTAAGTTCACATAGTTTAATATCAATCTGAAATGATCGAACTATGGCTAATGGGAGACTCCGTTGACGAACTGGTCGATTTGAGAACTGGTTTTTTGGCTCGCGCATTTTTGGTCGAGTTGGCGCAACTCTTGGCTCCCCTCATCCGTGGCACACTGTCCATGATGTAGACGTCTTGAACCTGTTTAAGTGCCGCATGCAACTCCTTCTGACTGCTATGCCGCATTGGGGGATTTTTGGGGTCCTCATAGATGATGAGCTCAATGGGTATGCCAAGCTTGGGGTACGATGTTGACGCCGATTTGCTCATGCTCATAAAGTTCTTCACCTCCGAGTCACGTAGCAGCAGATAGTTGTCCTCGCTTGGCAGGAACTCGCTGGGATTCTGAGACTGAGTATAGTCGCGCACCACACGAATAACACTACGAGAATTCAGATAGTAACGATCATAGATGGTGAGTGTGTAGTAGAGTTTTCGCGTTGTCTTCGGTGCGACTAGCCAAAATACGTAGATGCCGGACTTGCTTGCATTTATGGAGGCCAGCTGGGTTTCCAGATGCTTATCTTTGAGCTGGGCATACCAGGTGGTGCGGCAAACCATCAGCATTATGGGCAGATAGTTATCGAATCGATGATGTTCGTTAATCAGGGCGGAGTTGGGATTGCTCAGATAGCTATGTCCCGGCTGCGTCGCGATTTGTCCTTTCACTCCGCCATACATGAGTGTGGCCAAGCAGTCGTTAACACAAAAATCAAAATTACTGGGATCGAAGCTCATTATAAGAGGCTTGTGCTCGTAGATCTCTGAGCTGGTGGTTCCAACAGCGTTCACATGCTTGTGCAGCATGTGCATCATCAAGTTTGACGGGAACACGATCTCGTTGCACTTGCCGACTGGACAGCTGCCTGGCACCCGGGACAGTTGTCGTACAGCTGCTCGTTGCTCCAAAATCTTCGTCTCATTGTCTTTGGTTTCTTTTAATTTCTGTTCCATTTTTTTTTCATTTTCTTCTTGCATCTGCTTTGTCACTTTATCTCTAGGCATGATGACGGATTGAATTTAATTTAATTAACATATCTTAAAAATGAAGCTTTGAACTAAAGTATTTTAGTTGAACTAACGAAAGTTCCAATAACACTGAAGCACGGAGCATAGCAAGCTAGACGGAATCAAAATCCATTCTCATTTACCCACTTTTTTTTTTTAATGTTATTTTTATAGAATAATTAATTATTTTTGAAGAAGGCCGCATAAATCTATTGCCAACAGTTGACCTCAGGCCAGACTGAAGGCCTCTGTTTTAGTTAGTCTGTTTTGGTGCTTTATCATTGTGTTGTTGTGGCTTGTTTATTTTTCTCACTTGAAGTTTTCTTTTGAACAGTCGGCGTCAAGTTTTGGAAAGAATGAAATGAAAATTGGATTGGACTGCGAGTACAAAGAGCAAAAATGGTTGGCATTCAAAACCATTTAGAGAGGTGCGCGGGTAATTTAAAAAGTTTGTGCATGGCCGCCAAACAGACAGCAAACAGAATCGAGTCGAGCCGAAACGAGCAGAGCACTTCAATTTAAACTTTTGGCCACTCGCAAGTTGCTTTTCTGGCAGAGACTGGAAAGATGTAGCGTAAAATTAGACGAGTATGACAGCAGCACTTTGCTGTTGTTGTTGTTAGGCCTTGGCTTAGCGCATCTAATTTTGGCTGAATGCCGCCTGCTAGCAAAAAGGGTCGCGTCCGACTTCAATTAATGAAAGTAAATTAATTGCTTCACTAATCGCCTTTGATTAGCCAACTATACAAAATAAAAGAAGAGAAAGGTATGTAATTGTGTATGTATATGAGTGAAACTACATAATATTGGCTTGAGTTACGGTAATCGCATTACTTCTTGGCCGGGCAATGTGCACGATCCGTGTCCCACTTGGCCAAAACATGTCCAATTTTTGATGTGGGTGCGTGGCACCTATATCTCAATTTGACCACAAAAGCCAGCACTCTAATGCCATGAGCTGCAAAAAGGTCGGCGCTTCCCTTTTCAAATTAGGTTCAATTCGCTTAGCTCCGAACTTTGCAACTGAATTCAATTCACAAACATTTTCACACACACTCACGCAAATTACAGCAGTGTCAATAGTTCTAAATTTTTCTTTTCGCTTTGGCCTGCATCGCCTCTAACTTTATCGAGACTTTGAAGTGAGCTGAATAGGTGCGTGTCTAATTTGGGACTGCTCTCTAGCTTTGACAGTTCCGAGTCGCCGGCCGTAAAATTGAGAGTTGCCCACTTTTGGGTTGGAAAAAATGTAAATGGGAAACGCAAACGGAAACATGAGTATGCATGGCCAAGGCAAAAATAAAATGCCATTGCTGAAAGGGCAATTTAAGACAAGTCAAGTATGCTCGAATAGCAGGTGAAGTATTCCAAGAATTTTTCTGCTGACAATTTGCATATTGACGGCAAATAGCACTCGACGCACATATAAAATGCATGCAAAGGGCTTTTTATTGAATTAATATTTATTTCTTACTTAAGGCAATTACTGAAGTCAACTTTATTAATCAGCTAACGACTTAATGGCATTACTAGAAGCAATAAAAACGATAACTTATTTATTTTTATAACCAATCATTTAAGCTTCGCTTCATCCAATTCGTGCTCGATCAGATATGTTAATAATTGTTCCGTATATCCATGCACTCGATACATGCATGACGCGAACATTAATCAAAAATGTTGTGAATGACACTGAAGCTTTTACATGTGACATGCGGACAATGGGTTCAATCAGCAAAAATATTGATTGACATATCAAATTTTTGAAACTAATAATGCGTGACACTGACAAACAGAGCGAGTGCACATTAAAGGAGAGCTTTTGGCAATAGTTAAAAGTGTAATATGGACTCGATGCACAATTGCCCAAAGGAGAATCATCGCGTTATGCGCTAAATTTCGTCTACATTATGTGAACTGCAATTTCGCATTTGCATGTGAACACAAACATAAACACAAATACAAATACAAACACAAATTCAAGCACGACTGCTAATGCAAATACAAATACACAGACGGGCACAAGCAGGCACACACACACACATAGAGAGAGAGAGAGACAAACACATTCAGACTACACTTAATTTGTTAATAGATGCGGCTATACGAACTAAAGTTGTTTGGCATACAAACCGGGCGCTTGTCGGTTGCCAATTTGAAGTTGATTTTGAAAACCCACTTAGGGGCACAACAGCGTGCAATGGTTTGTAAAATTCGTTGAATGGATGCAAATGAGCTGCGATACGAGAGCTCACACAGTAAAGGGCCCATAAAATGTAACAAAAACCCAACAGCGTACGATTCGATAATGATGTACCATAGTGTGTTCAGTTTGAGTTTCGGCGTGCCACAAAATGCAAAACATGATGGCTATCTGCACTGGGCCAAAGCGAGCACAAAAGGCTGCACATAAATTCAGTCTATGTAAATACGTTTCTATAGGAAGTGCAAACGCATATAGCTAATATTTATTGTGTAGTTATATAATTAAGAAATTCTAATATTGCAATATGAGTCTGCCAGTCAACAAAGGCTCTGCAAAATAATAAATAAATAATTCAAAAAATACTAATAAAATATATAAAATAATCAATTTAGATTTGAGCATAGGCAAAATTATTATGAGAGAATAAAGCTTAAATTGTGTATTTTTTGTAGCTCAGAGAGCTTATATTTATATATATATATATATATATATATATATATATATATATATATATATATATATATATATATATATATATATATTTTTTTTTTTTTTTTTTCTTTTCTTTCAAGCATTTTTCATGTGACATAATCAATACAAACAATCAGTTAGTTGTTCTTAAAGCATTCTATGAATTTATTTAATTGCCCAGCGCAGAGAAAGATGAATCGACATTGTTGCATGCGCCACAGCTTCATCGTGATGCTATATACTTTATCGTTAAGTACAGACACGTATCTCTGAAATGCTATGGCCCAGATCCACTTGAAGGCCAACATATGCACGCAAACGATGATAAATGATGACAGAGATGCTGTTAATGCAAAAGAGAATACGAAAAAAAAGCATCAAAAAATGCCAAGGAATCGGCTGACCCATAAATACGCCTTCGCTTAATATGTTATGTCTATATCTATGTTGTCGCCAGCAGCACGTGATGACCTCCAGGGAAAGCAACCAGAACAGCCGGAATAAATGTGACGCAGGCGTGAAGCAGCCGCCGCTGCCGCACATCATTAATATTCTTATATGCATTATGAAATTCATTTATTGATTTTATGACGCAAAAATGTGCGTGCCCTTTGATTTGGTTTCCTTTGATGAAATGGGCGCGGTCGCTTTAAATTCATCGTCTGTGGGGCGTGAACGTAATGTGCATAAAAGCCGTTAACAAACGTTGTTAATATTTGCACACATACACACACACATATATAAATGCGCTTAATTGGCTAAATTATGTGCAGCCAAAAAATGTGCATGCAGCAGAACGAAAGCCAAAAAAGAGTTTGGAAAACCACAAATTCAAAGAGTACGAATCGTAAATACCCTAAGAAACAGATGAGGGAGTAGTAAGTGGAAAGTCAAATGTTCAGAAAGCAATTTGAATAAATATGACAAACATTTAAGTTAGAAATATGTAAACAGAAAGAAAGAAAGAGAAGAGAGAAGCTAGCTTATATACCCCTTGACTGCGGCATATTAGAGCACGTTCTGTGGAAAACTGAGTAAACCTTGTGGCTAAAAGTGCTGCCAATTGCAGTTGAGCTGCGGTGCTCGTGGTGCTGTGGCAGTGCGTCATTTCGGGGTATTTTTATAGTCACTTACGAAGTAAAAGAGTATATTCGTTGTGTGCAATGTCCGCCTGGCTGTTATCAAAGACTTGATATTTGGAATATATAATCGTGGGTATCCTGGCCTATTTTAGTGCTAAGGTCTTTCCGACACGCTCATTAGTTGTGTGGCAAATCAGAATATATAAGATCAATAATATACAATGTATACATCTACGCCAAATATATCTATTACAAATAGGCTAAAGCTGTGCCTTCCATAGGCTTAAAGCTAAGAACTTAAAAGTTCGATTATTGAGTTTCTGTTGACCTCCTCTATCCATGCCCCTTTAATATCTTAGCTGTAAAAATGTACTATAGACTTATTCTAAGTAAAAAGTTTTGTTGCTCACAGCGCTTAGACAGTGAACGAGTATAATGCAGTTGGTAGCGCGTAGCTGCAACATTCTTGCTCGTGTTTTTTTTGTGTTGGAATGGAACAGCGTTTAATTTAAAATGAAATACATCATGCTGGCCAATTATTTCAGCAATTTTGCAAATTAGTGGCCTGGACTATTGCTCTTGCCCAAAAAGCCAAAAAGCGACCAATTATCAAGCAAGCGACTGTCTCTATCCATCTCTTTGTGGCTGTGTGTGTGTGTTTGGTAGCGAGCGAATTTCCGTAGCATACTTTTTAGCAGCTGGCGCTAATTACGAATGGGAAAAGTAATTGCAAAAGTTAAAACTGGCAAAGAAAGTCGGGCGGGCCACAATGCAAGGCTAACAAGTGGCCATTGTCTATGTCTCAAGGGTCCTGGCAAACAATATGACAAGGGCCAAACGCATTAGCACAAAAACAATTGTTTAACTGACGAAGGAGTTAAATCAGAATGTGAATGAAAGCACAAAAAAAAGAAAACGAAGAAGAAGCAGTAAAAGGTGAACCACATACAATGAAATTTTAATTAAGTCTGAGTCGGTTCGCTTTTGTGCTGATGCAGCCAAATGAAAATGCCACTGATTATACCTACATGTATGTGTGAGTGTGTGTGTGTGTCTGTCTATCTCGCTCGCTCCCTATGTGTGTGTGCGACCGAGTGTATCTAAAATGTTGGCATACATGTATGTGTGCGCATACATATTTTGTTTACACTTTGCTTTATGTACTTTTACTTTTGTGTGTGTGTGTGTGCATGTGTTTGTGTTTGTGTTTGTGTTTTGTTGTGTTTTGTTCTGTTCTGAATGGCTGCACAAATACAAAACGTCTGCAACTTTGTGTGCGTGTGTGAATGTGTTTCGGTCTCTGTGCAACATAAATGCATTTGTGTAA